AACCGGAAGTGAACCGAGTAGGGGTGAGTACTTATGGGACTACTGTACCAGAGCTATCAATTGCGCTCTGCACTATCTGAGATTGTCTCACTAGTTAAATATACTATGGAATGTTATTAGGGAAGGTATTTCTGGTACCCAACCTACAATCAGGTGTCCAAATACTAACTGACTATCCTGTACTATAACCCAAAAATTTCATGTTCCTAGCAACACATCCTATGGACAAATTCCTAGAGTACCCCCTTCCTCCCCCGGGTATCGAATGCACTTCACTTATCTCTGATTACTACTACTAGTTATAGTTAGACAGATAAACGCGGACGCAATCCGAAAGCAGAGCCCACATGAATTGAGAGCTAGTGGCTGTAATGATTAAAGTGGAGAGTTTGTGCTTACGCGCAATTCATCAGATTAATTCATTTCTTCGCGCCGGAAAACCTACAAACGCGGACGATTTTGACAAGGTGTACACATTAACGGGACCAGGAACAAGTACGGCCTGTTTCTGAACGTACCTTTACTTAAAATGTGTCTCCTGCACCTTGTTTGTCAGTTTGTTTTTGTTTCTTTTCCCTACCCAACCTAGCTTTTAATTACTGTATAAATATGTGCGATCAAATAACATCTCAGATGTAAATAAAGTACTTCTTATTCATATACCTGCCTTTTCTGACTTAAATAGCGGTTTTTGCAAGCAGGTTTTCAGCTAACGCTAAGTTGAAAAGTGATGTTTCACTGTCGTTAGGAGTTAAAGCAAGTAATTTGTCAACCGCCAACGACAAGGAAATGAAGTCGTACATGGATCAAATGGATGAGGAATTAGCGCAGACATCTATAGGAGAGAGTTTTGAAAAGGTAAATATGTTTTTAATCTCAAGTATTGCTGTTCTTCTGTCTTGTGGACTCGTAAAGCTGAAACTACAGCCAGTCCTCAAGGAGCCAAATTGTGCACAAACCAATCAAACTCGAGGCAAGAACGTGTAGCCGGAGCTGTAGCCACTGGAAAGCGCCGGAAATGCGCTCGCCAGAACTTGGTTAGAATTGGTTTGCATTTGATTGGCTGAGTTTTCAATGCTTTACTGTGATTGGTGAACATTTTGGACCTGTTGTTGAGACCCCGTCAACCATATACTACGCCGGAGGAATTTGAAAACGCAACAATCACCGGTTATTTTGGATTTGTGTTCGAGGAAAACTCGGTCAGGGAAATCACACGATTATCGTGACGCCATCGTTTTCGAAAAGCTCTGTTTTCGATATGTTTTCCGTCCGCACGAAAACGAAACGCTGGAGTTTTCAAATTCCTCCGATTCGTGGAGCATTTTCGAAAAGCTCCTTATTGGTGACGGATTGGTGTGGACAGTAGGCCTAACCATACAAAGAAAGCTGCGTTTTCAAATTTCTCCGGCGTAGTGTGGACGCTGCATGAGATGAGCAAAACAGTACATTTTTAGCTCCTGATGAAAGTCAGTGAAAGAGAAAAAGAATAATAAATCCGAATAAGAATTGAACAAGCGAATTCCATCAGGGTCATTATGTGTTCCGCTGGGTGAAGGGTTTGGCCACTGGAAGTGGTTGGCAAATGTTTGTTAGAGGCCCTAGCGGCTTCATGTAGCTCAGTTTGTTGGCCGCGTGGGTTTGAATCCCGTTTGAATCCCGCGTAGGTTTGAATCACGTAACTAAGTTTCCTTAAACTGTGAAGAACATTTTCATTTCAGAGCGTTCTTATAGCTGATGAAAATATACTTTTTTAGTTCACCGTACACAGATTAAGATGTCATTAGACTGGATTGGCTAGCAAAACCGCTTTCATTACTGCCTCAATGAAAATTCCTGTTGCAAATTCTGTAAAACATTTCTCCTGCTATAGTTGGCCCAGTTAAGTATTTGCTCTGTTTTGTTGTACTTTAGAGAGGGAACCTACCTCAAGGAACTGGCCACAACCAAAACAACCTGACAAGTGAATGTCAAGAGGATTCTGCAGAGGATACTCCAGTTGATGTAGACTTCAATCTTGTGAAAAATATCCTGGAATCATTCTCTACACAGCAAGGACTCGCGGGACCCGCGTCAAATATCCTGAATTCTATGGGAGTGTGGTTGCCGCCTAACACAGACCTAACGGATTCAACTTAGCTAAAGGCCAGGGCCAGGATTGATTCACCGAAATTACGTTCTCGGTTTGCTATTGAATGCGGACGAGGACACGGGCTCAAAGCGAAGAGCAAAAACAATTAAAACTCGTATGGCTATGTAGCCAGGTGAGGCGGGTAAGAAGAACAAATTTGGAAAGCCCCGGGAAATCGACACATGCGATACACTTTCAGTTGATCCAGTTCTATTCGAGTTGGGATAAAAGGAGATTTCTTACATGACCGTTGTGGTACCCATGTTCCAACGGATTGCACATTCCATGTTGCCGTGCGTCTGTTCAGTAACTGATCACAAATGACGTCAAAAATGTGGTTAGAACAAGAAAGTGGCGCTCAAGGCGGTGTCCGAGTGTGTCACTAATGTTCCTACCACATTTTGAGATCATCTGTAATCAATTACTGAACAGACACACGGCAGCATGTTGTTGTTAATGACGTTATCTATACCTCTGTCCTGCAATTGATCATGAGCAAGAACCATTAAAAATGCGAGAATAATGCGACTTATTAAGCGTCATGTTCTACGGCAAACGGTAAACGCCAGGTTGTTGTTGACTCCAGTGGCGGATCCAGACCTTGAGCTAGGGGGGT